AATCCTCTTCTCCTTGTCACAGGACCAAGCAGTTAAAACCAACATTACCATCCACACAGAAGACAGCATAAAGGTATCACAGAGGCAATTGGTCCATGTTCTATTGGCTTTGTAATTTTCCTAACTCTTTATTCCGAGGGTTACGTCCAGGAATTTCTTGCTATACAAATAGAGAATGTACTAAGAACGAATAGTGGCCAGATTTGTCTTCTTGTGGTCTTCTCGCTTATACTCCCCTCTTTGGAATTGGTTTTTTATTGCAACAGTCTTTTATTTGGGGATGGAAACTGCTGTAGAATGTTCCCAAGGCTTTGTGGAATGTGGTATTTTTTCGGTCCTTGAGGAACTCTAATTGTGCGAGCCTGTATAGCAGTGGCCTTGGGGCTGTGGTTCCTGTCCATTTTGATGGCTTTCTTTTACTTTTGATCTGAAGTAGATCCTTTTAATGCCAGAAGAATCACAGGGAATTTGACTCACCAGCCTCGGGAAAAAGCCCAGTGTTTCAGTGTGCTCCTCAGCATTCTTGTGATGTTTTCCTTTGATCAAAGTCACTGAGGTGGTGATGCACACATATGCTCCAAGCATAGTACTTCTTGATACTGTAAATCATTTGACCAGTTCTTGCGCCCGTGAAAAGATGTTGTTAATGTCAACTGGTTGAGGATTGAGAGGCATACTTGTAATAGATTTAGTAAAATCTATATCTAATATAGATTAGATATAGATTTATATCTAATATCTATATCTAATGCTGTTGTCAAAACTTTGATATCTCTCTGGGCATATATTATGGGGAGTAGATGTAAATTTTTATTAATATAATTCTATATTAATATTGAGATTTGACACAATTCCAGTAAAATTTTTAAGTAGTTTCACAACATTAATGGACATATGCAGCCATTTAAGATTACTACAGAAAGCATGTAGTACATAGAAAATTATCTGTAATTAATGTTAAGAGAGAAAATAAGATTCAAAAATTACATGTATCATATCCATATAAAACAAATATAAGAATTAATTTGACAGGAAATACCTCGCTATCTACTTTTAAGAAAGTAAAGGGCTGGTAATCGAAACTGTATTTAACTTTGACTTAGCCACCCTACTTTTAGGAATTTAGCTTACATAAATAGATGCACGAGTAAGAATATATGCATAAGGGTATTTACTGCAACCTTGTTTGTAGTGGCAAAAACAACTGGAAAAAATTTGAATGTCCATTGGTAGAGAAATGGTTAAATAAATTATAGTATATTCTCTGTAATATTACGAGGCTATTCAAGGTAGTAAAATAGATCTAAATCTAGCAAGTTGCAAAATGACGTATAGTATGCTGTCAATTTTTGTAAAGACAGGTATCACCCTCTTCACATATGGGTATATATGTTTGGTGTGGGTTTGAATATCATGGTTACAGGTGTAGAAAAAGACTGGCCAGTCTGTTTACATTCTTTATCTGGGGACAAGGCAGGGTGAAGGTGGGTAATGAGGTGAAGGGAAAGGCTCCAGAAGCATTGGGGAAGAGCATTAATTTCTTTATATATTTTACACTGTTTCATTGGTCTTGGTGAATGTGTCACTTTTATGATTTTTAAAGAATGATTTAACTACTTTTTAAAGAAAAAAACAAACACACTTAAGCACACATGCATGCTCATGTATGGTAGGATTATAGCTAAACCACAATATTCTGTATTTTTCCCATGTTCTTTAATGATGCAGAAGGAAACTCAGCATAGAGACACTAGCATTGGAGGGAAATTCAGTTTTCTAGAGAGCTGTGAAAGCAATGCCCCAAAATAACTAGTCAGGGAGGTAGGAGTTGATGAGAACAGAGCATTATCTAGAAACCAAGCGAAGAAGGCAATTCAGAAAGACTCTTAGATTAGACAGGGTCCTGACAAGGAACAAACATCCTCAGGCCTGAAGAAACAAGGGAAACAGTAGTCATTGGAACCCAGAAAAGGGGTAGTCATTGGAACCCAGAGAGGACCAGTGACAGGAACAGCGGCCTGTGGTAGAGATAGCTTGCAAAGAGGAAGCTGTAGGAATAAATACTCTGGCCTCAGTCTCCTTTGATCTTCTGCCTGGAAACTTCCTGTAACTGAACCAACCAGAAGGCAAAGTATAAGGGACTCAGTAGAAGAGATCTACAAGGCCACTTTCCAGGACCAAGAGCAGGGCAGACAAGAGTAAAGAGTAGATCTGGAAGGGCAAGTGGGAGACAAAATGATATAGATAGATTGAGCTGTGAAGACTGAAAAGTATAGAAGCATAGAATAGAATTTTATTTTATTTTTAAATTACAGTTGACATTCAATTTCAGGTGTTCAACATAGTGTTTAGACATTTATATAACTTGTGAAGTGATCCATCCATAATTCTTGTACCCACCTGATACCATATATTATTACAATATTATTGATTATGTTCCCTAAGCTGTACTTTACATCCCTGTGACTATTTTGTAACTGCCAATTTATACTCCTTAATTCCTTCACCTTTTCCACCCAATCTCCCAACCCTCCTATCTGGCAACCATCCGTTATTTCTCTGTATCTCTAAGTTGTGTTTGTTACTCTTTTGTTTATTTTTATTTTTTAGATTCCACATATAAGTAAAATCATATGGTATTTGTCCTTCTCTGTCTGACTTATTTCACTTAGCATAATACCTTCTATGTCCATTTATGTTGTCACAAATGGTAAAATTTCATTCTTTTTTATGGTTGAGTAATATTCCATTGTACGTAAGTACTACCTCTTCTATATCCATTCATCTTTTGATTGGAGCATTTAATTCACTTACATTTAAAGTAATTATTGATAAATGTAATCATTGCCATTTTATTAATTGTTTTCTGATCGTTTTTATGTAATTCTTCTCTTTTTCTTTTGTATTCTCTTGCTCTCTTATATGTTGACTTTCTGTGGTGTTGTGTTTGGGACTCTCTGTGCTTCCTAGGCTTGTATAGACGTCTGTTTCCTTCTCCAGGTTAGGGAAATTTTCCGTCATTATTTCTTCAAATAGGTTTTCAATTCCTGGCTCTCTCTGATCTCCTTCTGGTACCCCTATGATGCGAACATTGATACACTTGATGTTGTCCCAGAGATCCCTTAAACTATCTTCATTTATTTGGATTATTTTTTCTTGTCACTGTTTTGATTCAGTGTTTTCTGCTACCTTGTCTTCTAAATTGCTGGTTTGATCCTCTGCTTTATCTAATCTGCCATTGATTCCCTCCAATGTATTCTTTATTTTAGTTATTTTATTCTTCATTTCTGACTGGTTCTTTTTTATGTTTCCTATCTCTTTGTTTAAGTTCTCACTGACATCATTTATTTTTCTCCTAAATTCATTGATAATCCTTATAACCAGTGTTTTGAACTCTGCATCTGGTAGATTGCTTGCCTCCATTTTGTTTAGTTCTTGTTCTGGAGCTCTGTTTTATGCCTTCACTTGGGATATGTTTTTTTTTTTTTGTCTTCTCATTTGGCTTCCTTTCTGTGTTTGTTTCTATGTTTAGATAGTGCCGCCCTGTCTCCCAGTATATATATAGTATTAGATTTGCTATATCTCTCAGTCTTGGCATTGTGGCCTTATGTAGTATGTGTCTTGTGGGGCCCAGTGGCACAGTCTTCCTGTTTACCCAAGCCAGGTGCTCCAGGAGTGTACCTCGTGTGAATTGTGTGTGGTCTCCTATTGTAGTTGAGCCTTGGTTGTTGTTGGCATGTCAGTGAGTGGGACCGACCCTCAGGCTGACTGGCTGTGAAAACTGGCTATGACTACAGTGGACAAGTTGTTGTGCAGGAGCTGACCCCATGGAGCAAGATTTACTTTAGCAGGATTCTATGCCTGGCAGTCCACCCTTTGCATGTGTCATTTGTGACACTAGTTGGGTAGTGCTCTGGTATGTTTTGAAGCCAGCAACCAGGTGTGTTGGTTCTGGGGTCTCTTGGGAGGGGTCCAGTACAGGCCAAGGTCAGTTGCTGTCTGTGTCTGGCCTGGGGCCACCTGATAGGAGCTACAGAATAACTGCAGTTGGTAGCTATCTGTGCTGGGCTTAGAGGTGCCTGTGAGTGGCTAAGGCCAGGTATAGAGCCAGTTAGCAAGAGAAACAGGCATGCTGAGGTCAGTTGCTGCTCGTTTGGGGTTTGTGGACCTTTGAGAGGTTTTAGAAAAGTCCAAAGCACTGGCAGAGGCTGGCACTTATGAGGAACAGCTGCTGAAAGAGATTTGGCTAGTGTGCAAGTCAGGTGGGAAGAGGCCTCAGAGAA